TTGAAGATTTTTGAGGCCACTTAGTTGCATCACAAAATTTTCTGGCACACCAGCATCAAGCAGACGGTAAATTGACGTTTTACGGACGGAATGATTGGATATCTTCTTTTTTTGAGCTGCTAAACCGGCATTTTTTGCCGCCGTGGACATAGATTTTCCGATTTCGTTCTTGCCGAGTGGTGAGCTCTTGTACCAAACTTGGCTTTGGCGCCAGGTTTAGTGATTAACTGCCACATAGAATGGCAATTCTGGGCTGTTAGCTTTCTGCGCACGGCGGGCCTTAAACGACTTGTAATAAAGAACAGGGCATCTTTTTGTGCCGGTGGCAAACGCTTTAGGACAGCATTGACGTTGATGACCGTCTTCAAGACCTTGGCGCGTTTTGCTTCCCTTTCGGCTGTCTACACTAGCACCTCACGGCCGGTCTCGGCGTCCACGTCCAGCACTATATCTCCCCAACACAACTTTCTACTTTCATCCCTGGCTCTGAAGCCAAACTGCATTGATAAAAACCACCACAGGGTGCGCTGCAATGCCAGTGGATTGTGATTTCCGAATTCACCTGTTTCAAAGAGCTTCGCTTCTTCTTCATCCGTCAACTCACGGACAGCGTTCAGTTTGTTCCCACGTCCTTCTTTAACTAAGCTCTTTCTCTTGGTGGCCAAGACGCTCCTTGAACGGGAGAAAGCATCATCTTTGAGGATGTCAAAGAGTAGTTTTTGCTCAGTAATGTGGCGCTCGGTGCTCCTTTGTAAACTGGAGACCGTGTCCGGCTCGTAGTCGCTGCCATCTTTTTTTCTCAGGTCTTTGAAAAAGCTGCAAAGGAGCTTGTCAAGATCAGGTGCAGGTATGTTTGTTAAGTCAAAAAAACCACTCATTTTTCCTTGGCATTAGGCGTCAAATCTCTGCCAGTCTGGTTTGTTTGTTTTGACTGTTTTTCGAGTTTTGGCCGTGGATGAAGTTGTCAATTTCTTGGCTAGAATCGTCTTCTCCGCTATGATTAACGTCTTCTTCCGCTTCTTTCTTAAATACATTTAGGTCACAATTTGGCAGGACGATGTCTACTTCCAGGTCATTAGACACAGTAGGGTTAACAGACATTCTGTCACAGTTTTTCTTTTTAAGATGGAATTCATCAGAAAAGTGTTGTTATTTTAATTTTCAGTGGACAAAAACCTTGTACCAGAATAACTTAAAAGATATCCCATTACTTTAAATTTTTCAAGGGCTGTAGATGTAAATTTTCCAAAGACAGCATGCGTCCATGCCGTCATATACTGTTTTCGTCCTCTTGTAGATATCAGATGGTTAGTTACTCGTGTTTTACACCCGCAGAGCCTGAAATGACGCAAAATTCATTCCCTATCAGATGAAGGTCATCAAAACCCTAGGAAATTTTACTCTCTAAGCCGTTTTAATCATTCATTTGTTAACAGTTCCTTATTTTATTATTGAATGTTAATGAACTTTAAGGATTTAGCTCTTTTAAAGTGTCACTTATTATTATTTAATAATTCTTATGAAGTTTATTTATTCATAACTACGTAGCAGTTCGAAAACTGAATTGTGTATTTACGTTACAAAAATTAAATTATAGATCTAAACATTAACTAATCTATCTTAATTAAAAGGAATAAAAAAGCTGACAAGACTTGAGATGCTGAAAAAGGTTATCGAAATACAAGCTGCGAAATTCGAAAACTCTAACCTATAAGAAACAGAAAACGGATTGTCAAATCTGTGATCTGAGGTGGAGTACATCTTTACAAATGTAAGTTTATAATTTATGGTAAGACATCAGTTCTAACAAAGGATTATGAAAATGCAAATCAAGTGCAGGTGGACTGAATGGGTAGCAGGACTGTTTGATAAATATAGGTACTACAATGACGTTTATGGCAAGTATTGATCTCTCGTTACATATAATTCTTGATATTCAAAATTCTTAATTTCATACTCGACCTCATTCAACAGTTAATATATTATCAGCCTAACCCTAACCTTGACTGACTTGGTTTTTCCATATAATACGAAAACCTCATCCTGCTTAATTAAGCGTTATTGTTAAAGTTTTCAGCTGAACTTTTTATTGTCTTAGTTTAAAGCTAAATTAATTGAAGGGCTATTCGCTTTGTCGGCCTTTCTTTTTGTTTCAATCAAACAGTCAATCAAACTTTAATTAATAGGGTAACACCTAAATATGGTTACACAACTAATAAACTTGTGGCCCTCTTAATTAATAATATATTAAAAGACAAAAATAATATATAAGAAAAGTATATGTCAATTGCTAAAGGAGATGACCTTGCTCGCGTGATAGCTAATTATAAGGAGAAACGGGGGTTTCCCATGTGTGCAGGAGCAATCGATGGCACCCATATACCAATTTTAACACCACAGCAAAATCATGCAAGTTACATCAACAGGAAATCGTACCACAGTATTTTGATGCAAGCTCTCTTGTAGACAGTAGAAATTACCTATTCCGTGATATTGTTGTAGGGTGGCCAGGAAGTGTACGTGACGCAAGGGTTTTTTTCTAACTCACAACTGTGCGCTCTCGGGTAAAGTGGGAGGTTACCGTATTTCCACCAGATGGGAAAGAGGAAATTTTGGGGAAGGAAATTCATGCTGTTATCTTGGCAGATCCAGCCTGCCCCATGTTAAATTGGCTTCTTAAAGGTTACCCAAACCTCGTCTTTTTCAACATTTAGAGACTGAAAGCCAAGGTCAAAGCACGGAAGATCCTCAGCCATAATGTCGGACAGGCGAAAACATGAATTTCTGTGTCTGGCAGAGAGTGTGAGGTAGCTTGCGTGCATATGTTGTACTATAATGCACGCGTGACGCGTGCTGCGAGCTTTACGGAGACATAATGAACTGGTCTCGGCCAATCAGAATCCAATTTTAACCTTGGTTATTTTATAATGCATTATATTCGGCACATGTGAAATGCGACTTCTAAATCAAATGTTGAACCTAAGTCGAAGTTTGTGCTGTTTCAGTCGCAGATTCGACAAAGTCGTATTTAATTTGGAACTGTCGCATTTAGTTGATTCAGACGTCCTATCTCAAAACAGCTACCTCTCGAATTAAATTGGGCACACTTGAAAATGGACGATTGAGCTGGGTAATGATAACAGTGTCCAGTATTACTAAAAATACCGGTAGATACGCTATGAGTTATACATACCCCTTTTCTTATATTCCTGTGAACTTTCAATTTACCACATTATGTTACTAGCTATATGCACCATGCAGGTAAAAAGAGAGTAAAAAAGTGGTTTTAAAAAAAGAAGAATAAGAAAAGGTTACGAAAAATTTGCTTCAAGGGGATTCAACCCGGACCTTCACAATCAGTCAGAACTGAAAATTAACGCCTCTGTCCACTGGACCACGTGACACTAAAAAGAGGTATATATTCCTTCTCTATGGCGATTGACAGTTTTCAAGGATGACCTTGTCGGTTGTTTTCTAATTTCCGTGTAATATTAAGTCTTTAACTGATCAAAGCTAGACGTAAAGCTCACAATAAAACCATTAATACTCTTTCATGCTCGGTCCATGCCGGGTCCATGCCGGGGAACGTTTATGAAATTTATGAACTATCGATCGCGCGGCTACCGACTGAACCGTATGAACGTACGATTCTCGCCCTGCTCGTAAGGTGTCTTCGTCGTTCGGGGAAAACATTAACAAAACATTGTTCATCATTATTTCCATTGTTTTAGGTTAGGGTAGCAAACTTTTAGGGTTGTAAGAGCTCCTACATAACCTCTCTCCCCGGAATGAAGAAAAACAATATGGCCACAAATACATCCTTTTAGTTTTTTTGAGTTCTCTTTTATTAACAAACGTTGAACATTTATTTTGGCAAACGAACAGTTAAGTTGAAAAAGGATTTTTACAAATGTCTCAAGAGTGGGTTTCCTTTTCGATTTTAACTTGCAATATCGGTCAATGCACGCAACTTTTACACTTCTGACACAGTTTTCGTTTGGTTCTGCTTTGAAAATGGAATAATTACTCAGAGACAATACAGTCCAAAGGATTGTTGAGAAAAACAGCAAAAACTAGCCAATTTATGACAAAAAAGGTGCTTTAAAAACGAACTAAAACATTAAAAACGCTTTGATCACGTGACTGGTGACGTCAGGTTTCTCTTTTGGTCAGGAAAAAAATTATCAGGTAAAACATTACTTTACCGCAAAGTTTCTTTGCCGTGTGATAAAAGGTTGACTCTCTACAGCCCTCGGCCTAGTCTCCCGACCTTTTCGCTCATGTTCATTACCCCCTTAAATTTTAAATGCCCTACGTCAACTGGTTATTTTTAAATGCCCCACACAACTAAAACCTGAAGTATGCTATTTGTTTTTAACTTTGCATGAAATCTTGTGACAGCAACAAAAAAACCAAATTCGGAAATAGTCACGTGACATGGGAAGATATTTTATGGCTAATGTTATCTTGTTGTGGTCTGACAGTCTTTTACGAATAAAATTGTCAAAGTTGTAAAACTTTTTAAAAAATTGCCTCAAAGGATTCTGGAAGATGTTTTTATGATAATTATAATTTACTTTAATTTATAATTATTATAAAGTTTCAAAGGCAAGGAGAGAGAAGGAATTCAACCCATATCAATGGAGGAATGGCAACAAAATATATTGTAGGAGGAATGGTTTGTGCAGCAAGTGTGCGTGGATTCATACCCATAATGAAAAACTGCTCGAAGAATTTACTTGAAGCTTGAAAATGGACTAGTGCTCATCGATTCGAACGTGGAATTTTTTGGGGAAAGACCTTTTACGGAAACAAATGAAGGCAGTGCATGGTTGTAATTTTTCATTGATTGCGTTGGACAGCTTCAGCCACAACTGTCTACATGTCACTTGAAAAGAAGGATCGTGTGTTTCCATCTTCTCAGTTTACAAACAATGGTTGAAGAAAATGTGTGCTTTAGTATTGAGTCACTTTTATCAAATATTTCATGCCAACTTTGCAAAGGTCTGAGTTGATTCTGAGTCTGACTTGCAAAGGTCTGTGTCAAGGTCTGAGTTCAGTTTTTCATTAAGATAAATCACAGTATTCGCTAAAAGTTTCACGTCGTAGACTAGAGGCATTTGTTAGGTTTATAATGTCTGTGAAAAGAATTTGGACGTATGTGTAAAGATCAGTTATTGCTGTGTGCTGCATTTGTCCTGATTATTATTGGCAATAACCGATGCTACGTTTAACACTGTTCAAATCTGTTAAGCTCTTGGGTAGTTACATTGTGTAGATAACTTCAGCTCTCCACTGAACCTTTCTCAGAGGACTGTATCTCAGACTGTAGTAAGCACGGTCATCTTTCATTCAATTATGTTAATGATCTATTTTATGGAAGAATACTTATTTACTGTGTTTTCTGACCCCTGTTGGTCATAAGGTGGATAATGCTATCCACTGAATGAATCTCTATCCATTACAACAACAACAACAATAGTCTTTATTTTCCTTATTGAGTTTTACAAAAGTGCACTGGCCCGCAGGTAGCTAGAGCTAATCGTAGCGGGCCAGTCAATTTACGTTTCGGAAACATTTAATTTTTATTCTTCTATGTACAAGTTTGTTTATATACATGAAATTAAAATGAGGAAAGATTATATAATGGGGAGAAAAAAATTACAGTCCTGAGTGCATAAGACATTTACAGAAGATAAAGTTTTTAGGAAAAAGCTGGAAGGCGCAATGGACCTTTTTACCGATACGGCGGCCATATTGAATTAATTCGATTGAAGGAGTATTATAGAATGCCCAGGGGGCATGAGCACATTTCGTTTCTATTTTCGAGCGCTTTTCGGGACATTTTTTCTTGAAGTTTTCTTAGAATAAGATCGTA